GAGGTGCTGGAAACCTAGGAGCTGGATGGGCAAGCGCTCGCTCTGGGCGCGCTCTCTGCGCCTGGACCCTGGATGGTGGAGATTGATTGTGCAGAGCTCCAGAGAACACCGCTGGATTGCTATACGCCTTCCCCAGACCCCCGCGACCTATCCATTCTTTCATTTGTGAGTCATCCACTAAATAAATCTTACTTTTAACTATGTGGAGTGGCCTTTATAATTTTCCCCAATAGTCCACACAGGTCCATGGACTGAAGACACAGATCACCTTTAGGATATCTAGCCTTTCCAGCTGCAGGAGGAATCAGCCTTTTTGTAAGATCTGATCGACCCACATAGGCGTTTGCAGCTTTTGTTCTACTTGAGCTAATTCCCTTTCCGCCTCAGCTGTCAATTGTCTTGGACAGTTTAAATCTGAGCCACCTTGTAAAATCTGAAACAAATTACTTAATTCTTGAGTAAACAAACCAATGGTATGAGGTAGCCAACTAATATCACCCAATAATTTTTGAAAATCATTAAGAGTGTGCAACTGATCTCTCCTAATCTGTACCTTTTGTGGCTGAATTCACTGTTTATTTAATTTATAACCTAAATAACTAGGAGAATCTCCTCTTTGTATTTTTTTCAGGAGAAATTTGTAATCCCCAACAGGGTAAAATTTTCTGTACCACATTTAACATTTTCTTTTTTTTTTTTAAAGGATTTATTTATTTATTATGTATACGGCATGTATGACTGCAGGCCAGAAGAGGGCACCAGATCTCATTATAGATGGTTGTGAGCCACCATGTGGTTGCTGGGAATTGAATTCAGGACCTCTGGAAGAGAAGCCAGTGCTCTTAACCTCTGAGCCATCTCTCTAGCCCCTTAACATTTTTTCTAAGATATCTGTATCAGAAGCAGCCAATAAAATATCATCCATATAATGATAGCTAATAGACTGAGGAAATTGTTTACATACCACTTCTAGTGATTAATTTTTACAAAATATTGACATAAAATTGGACTACTTAACATTTCTTGTTTATCCTTTAGGCCCTATACATTTAATCCACTCTGTTTTGCTTGAGATAAGGTTCCAATGCTTACAAATTGAGTGGAGACCTTTTGTAAAGGTCAACTGGGATTTTAAGATTTTTGAAAAATTATCGATACATCAACTTTAGTGTCTAGGAAGCCTGAAATTTGAATGCCATTTACTTGCAATTTTAGATTTGGCCTCTTATCATTAATAACAGTTTGTCAAAATACTTTCTTTTTAGTACCTTTAAAATCTTCTGTCTTACAATTGGAGTTGCTTTGTCTTTAAAATTATGGGAGTAATAACAATTGAGCAACTTTACTCCCAGCATTTATTTGCATAGTCCTTTTTATATAAGCCAACTATAAAAGCATTAAAAACAATCTCTATGGGATTCTAAGAGGTAACTTTAGGCAACATTATGGAGCATTTTTATAAAGTTTTAAAAGGATTTCTTTTTTTAATAGATTTCAGGCAACATGTTAATGCAACTTGTCAGTTATTAACAGTGTGGACCAAAAACTCCACCTGCATTCCATTCAGCAGAAAAACAACTTCTGTATGTTCTCACTCAGCAAGAGATCATTTTCTATGAGCTTTTACCTTAGTAACCACATTCTCTAATAACGTAACAACCCATTCTGTTTCAAGTGTTCCATTTCATAGAATTTACCTAAGAATTTCTAGAAAGCAACTTAAAGAGCAGAGCCAAATTTTTAATAATGATAAACAGTCAAGAGCATATATAGCTTAAAATCATGACTTTTGTTCTTTTAGTTCATTTACTATGAAAATTAAACATTCATTTAGACAATAATTAGACAATCAAGAGAAGAGAACTTCCTTTATACAATGGATAACTAATATCTCTAGAAATTTAAACAGCATTGACTCTGACCCCAGTTGTTTTTTACTAGAAGTTGGCTTGTTAAAAGTGTTTTCTTTCTCCTGTGAAGGGATCATTGATAATGAGTTATTCCCACTATTAGGGAAAAATAAAAAACATTTTCCACGAAAGGACATTTAATAATGTGTTATTCCCACTCTGAGGGAAAAAACAAGAAACATTTAAACCAATTTTAAGAAGACAAAATTCTAAGCTCTTGGCTTCTCTTGATTGTACACTCCTCATGCAACAAATCTGTTTTACTTACATTCTATCCTCAGTTCCTAGTCAAGAGTCTGGCACACAGTAGGAACTCAGTAAATATGGTAGAGGGTTGAAGTACAGAATGATGAGTACTAAAATGATTTTTTTTTTTAAGATCTGAGAATGGGGCTTGAGAGATGGCTCAGAGGTTAAGAACACTGACTGTTCTTCCAGAGGTCCTGAGTTCAATTCCACATGGTGGCTCACAACCATCTGTAATGAGATCTAGTGCCCTCTTCTGGCCTGCATGCATACATGCAAGCAGAACCACTATACATAATAAATAAATAAATCTTTAATAAAAAAAAAAAAAGATCTGAGAATGTAGAGTACTTATTTAGCATAATACAGGCCCTAGGTTCAGTCCCAGCACTGCATGAACAGGGAGGGTGTAGTGGCACACAGCTCTAGTTCAGAGGCAGGAGGATCAAATGTTCAAGGTCATCTGCTCCATAGCAAATTGAAGGCCAGGTTAGCTACATGAAACCTTGTTCTTTCCTCTAGCCCCCCAGGTTTTTTTGGTTTTGTTTTGTTTTTGGTTGCTGCTGTTGTTCTTTGTTATGTGTTGAGCACCAAAACTGATAGCCTATGAACTTGTCAGTCCTAGAAACAGATTATTAAACATGTCTGTGAGCTTTGTCAAAGAAAGCAGGAATGGGTCAGTACCCACTCATTTTAATTTGCTTTGAAGATCCTATTTCTGCCTTACCTTTTCCTGTTACAATCCAGTAATTCTGATTCTGAGTTATTAGCCTGATTCCTTGGTTTTAACATTTGGAATTTCAGTGACCTGAGGATTCTTTCCTTGCAAGGAATAGTCCTATTAACATGACAAAAACTGAGGGTATGGTGCATGCCTGTAATCCACTGCTCAGGAAGCTGAATCCCGAGTGTCAGATGTTTGAGGCCATCTTGGGCTATGTGACAAATTCTAGGTTAGCCTGGGCAACATAGAAAGAGTCTGTCTGTAAAGGTAGGACCTGGTGACAAATGCCTATAATCCCAGAGCTCAAGAGACAGAGGGAAGAGGATCTCAATGAGTTTGAGTCCAGCCTGCTCTACATATCAAGCTCTAGGATAGTCAAGACTACAAAGAGAGACCCTGTCTCAGAAAACGAAACGAAATAGTCTATCTGTAAATAAATAAATGTTGAGATTATGATCTGTAGTTCTGTAACCTTAACCCAAACTCCGTCACCTTGACCTTTTCTTGTTTGTCTTCTTTTCCTTTTTAGTGTTGCATTCTTTCCTCTACATATTGGGGACCATGTCTTTATTGAGGAAGACTGTGTGGTCAACGCTGCTCAGATCGGTTCTTATGTTCACGTTGGGAAGAACTGTGTGATTGTGAGTATATGACTCACTCAACTAAGCAGCATCGTTTCTTCTGTCTTCCTCTCTCCTCCCCATCTGTGGGACTCTGTCCCTGTAACAGGGGGAGGAGTCATTTCCAATTTCCTGAGGTTAGGTTTTTTTCTTACTGGATTTGGAGTTATTTGTCTAAGCAGTAATAATAATGGCCAGTGGGCTAGGGATCTAGCTCACTGGTAGAGTGTTTATGTAGCTTGTATGAGGCTCAGGATTTGATTCTTCAGCATTGCAAAGACACAAACACACACCCAAAATAAAACCAAGTAATAATGGCTAGCCTTTATTAAACCTTTTCCATATGATATTAAATATAGGGCTATACATATATGTATGGGGCTTCTGGGACTAAGAAGATGGCTCAGTTGGTAAAGCACCAGTCATGCAAGAATGAGGACCTGAGTTTGATCCCTAGAACCCATGTAAAGAGCCAGATGTGGTGTCACACACTTGTAATCCCAGCACTGGGGAGGCGGAAACAGGCGGACCCCTGGGTCTCAGGTCTGCCAGCCAGCCTACTTGGTAAGCACCAGAGCAATGAGAAACCCTGTCTGCACATATTCTAACTGCAAAGGAATTCTTCAATATGTGTAGAGACAAAGTTTTTGTTCAGTTTCATGTTAAAGAAAGGGAATCATAAAAAGTTGATCTCGAATAGAAGAAAGGAGAGTAGTTATTAAAGGAAGAATAGAAGGAAATGAATACGGGCCCTAAAATACAGCTCTGTAGGAAGACATTCTAGTAGAGAGGCCACAGTTCACTACAACTTACTGTATACTGCTGAGCCTGAAGACAGGCATTTGAAGGCTCAAAACACGAAGTGATGAGACAATCAAAATTCCAATTGCCTTGATTTGATCGCCACACGTTATGTACTGAAATATCATACTCTAACTTACAAATACAACAGTTATTGCATACTGGTTAATTACAGACTACTGTCAGAAATTGAACCCAGGGCTTGTGTATGCCAGGCATGCATTCTGTCCTGAGCTACATTTCTAACACTTAAAACATATATATATATATTTTAATTTTAAGGCAGAGACTGGCTAAGTTGCTTGGACTAACCTGAACTTGGTGTGGCCTAGACTGGACTTAAACTTGTGCCACTGCTGTCCCAGCCTTCCAAGGAGCTGGGTTATAGACCTGCACCACCATTTCTGGCTAGATACTCTGCTTTTTGTACCTCTTTTCAGAATATCACTTAATGACCTCTTCATTGTTCAGTGTGAGCAGTACTTGTTAGCCCTTGACACATTTTAAAGTCTTTTTAGACTTTAGAGTCTTTTAGAACTATAGACTCTTAGAGCTAAAGCCTAACTGCCTCCATGGCACATAGACTTTCCTAGAGTGTCCCGTGTGATAGTCTAGTGACAGCTTTCTGTGTGAAGGTGTAAATCAGAATTGTCATAATGCCAGGAGGCAAAGCGTAGCCATCAGTATCCTAGGCATTACAGGGCTGTCAGCTTTATGCTTGTTACTGGATTGGTGGCATTGCCGTTGCTTTGGCTTTATAGCCTGCTTCCTAGGTGAAGAAACCAAGGCTCAGTGATGTTAATTTGGCTTGCTAAAATTATCCAGGTTGCTCTAATGTGAGCTGCATAGCCACAGTTCCTGAGTCCTTCTTAGAGGAAGAATGAAGAAGCCTTTTACCATATCCTTAGCTATTCCCAATTTACGCATGTCTTAAAACTATTAGCATTCGCGGGGTGGTGGCGCACTCAGGAGGCAGAGGCAGGTGGATCCCTGTGAGTTCAAGGCCAGCCTGATCTACAGAGCGAGTTCCAGGACAGGCACCAAAGCTACACAGAGAAACCCTGTCTGGAAAAATAAAAAATAAAACAAAACAAAAAACTACTGGCATTCTTCGTGTTGCTATGAATTAATACCTATACTCAGAATGTTCCTGAAATTTAGTTAATCTATTTCTCTAAGCAGTCAGGATCTAAGTGAGTGGGATGGCCAACTAGTGGACAAAGCAGGCTGCAGGCTGTATAGTGGCTGGCAGTAAGTAGTGAGAAGATTCCACTGTTTTTTTCCCTAGGGCCATCTGTCCGTGGATCCCAACATGGGAACTCATCATGCCTTACTTAGCACATCCTGTTCTCATGTGCTTAGTCTTGGGGATTAGGAGTGTAGGCATGAGATGACATCATGAGATAACTCATGTGGGCATGAGTGTAGGCCTCAGAGATAACATCACCTTGTTCACCAGGGGAGATAGCCAGTTGATATCTTTGGAAGTACCATAGCTAATTCATGAATGAGAATTTCCTCGGAAGAATGAAGATCCCTCCTTACAGCCAGCCTGCTTCAGAGTCACACACCAACTGTTGCCAGTCTTCTTGTGCATCCAGCTGAGGGCAGCTTAACCGTTGATGAAACTCAGACCTTGCAGAAGCTTTTCTTTTTCTTCCTTCCTTCCTTCCTTCCTTCCTTCCTTCCTTCCTTCCTTCCTTCCTTCCTTCCTTCCTTCCTTCCTTCCTT